CGATCACACCATAGTCCAGTGGGTCTCACCTGTCGAAGGGCAGCTCTTGGGCAATGAGGTGCAGCTTCTGAATTATGTCAGCTGCCTCCTTGATCTGCACAGAGGAAGAGAGGGAGTCATCAGGCATAGCCGGGCCCGGTGCCCCCCCCCGCCCCCCCATAGGGCAGGTGCGCAGCCCGACCGCGTCCAGTGCCGCTCACCTGAGCGTCGGCAGGGCCAGTCTGCGAGGCGTCCAGCTCTTTCATCGCCCACCCGCTTTGAATGGGATGTAATCCCACAAGAGGCTAAATCTCCCTCAATAATCTGTCCAGGCAGGGATATCTCTCTCAAACGGCCCCGCCGAGATTCACAGCAGCCCCCCCCCAGCACCCCGCGCCACCCAGACGTGCGAGCGGACCCTGCTGTCCGCTGCTCCCGCGTGACCGCGGAGGCCTGCCTTAGCTAACATCATTACCCTGCTCCCGTGAGGTGACTTCTGCCTTTTGCTCTGCAAGGCTTTCTAAGTATCTGTCCTCTAGCTAAGATTAGCTAAATCCCATGTAAGTAATGTAGCCGTCTCCCTGCAGCCAGGCTTTAGCAGCACTTGTCTTGGTCTTGGCGGTCTGGCCCTCCCTTTCTAGGGGATTAGCTCAGCCTCCCCTCCAGCTATTGACTCACAGCTTTCCTCTTCGGCTTGGGGGCGCGCTCGGAAAAAGAGAACAAAAATCCAGGAGATATTCCCACTGCAGCTCACCTCCGGACGCCGCTGCCAATTCCAGGCCTCTGTGATGGGACAGGGGCCCAAGTGGCCCTCGCCAGCGGGTTCGAGACTGAAATCCACACAAGTGGTCTCCGGCAGCAGCATGTACTGGCAGACGTGCAGATTCTAGGGCTGCATCCTTTTTATGTATTTATGTATTATGTCTGATTTATTATTACACTGATCCCTCATCGGTCACGTACTTAGAGAAGGTTTGCTTGTTTTAGGAAATGCACTCTATGTTCTGCGGGCCCCCATGAAAGCGGAGTGTGTAATTTATAAAGGAGCACACTAATGCACAACAGCATGCGGGAGACTCACGGGGCACTGGAGCAGGCGGCCGGTGTGGGGGGGCGGTCAGGGAATGAGCCAGAGCGTGCTGTGCCCCAGAGGAAGGGGTAGAATTGCGGGGGGGCAGATGCAAGGTCGAGCTCATGAAAGGTCGAGCTCATGCAAGGTCAGTATAAACATTCATACATAGGAGAATATCTGCGTCATCTTACAGAGGGGCGGAAAAATCGTAGTGTTGCTTAGCTAATATTCCGGGTTAGTGCACAATAACTGTTCCAATATCTAGGGAATTCGTGTGAGTGTTTTAGGTAGAGTGCTGATGATTTTGGTCAAAAGACGGCCGGTTAATATACTGGGACTGGTGTAGGTATAACAGAAACCTATAACGGAAAGGGAGTGACATCATGGAGGGCAGGAGGAGGAGCGTGTGCAGACACAGAGGGCAGTCGTTGGGCGCGACCTTGTCAGGGTTGTTGAAGACGTCGCTGCGCAGTTCCCCGTCCAGGAACTCGTTGAAGTAGGTCATGAGGCGCTGGGCCTCCACTGCCCTCTGCCGTGGCGTGTTGACGCCCTCCAGCTGGTCGCCCAGGTGACACACCTTTGTCGCCACGTAGCTGATGTGTTCATCCAGCTCCTGGAAGTGCTGGAAGGCCACCTGGGAGGAGGCGAAGAGGCAGCCAATCAGCAGAGCGCAGAGGAGGGTGGGAGGGAAAATCAACGGCACGCATACAGAGAAACCGCAAGGCAAATGCACGACTCTGCAAACATCCATGCAGGCACTATGCACTTTATCAGGGTAATTTCTGTCACATCTGAGCACTTATCTTCTCCGTATGTATTTATATTGCGGAGATAGAAATTTCACTATGATCCTGTACTGGACGTTCATGAAAGGTGGACGGACAGAGGAATGGACATCCTCTGTAATTCTAGATCTGAGGCTGGTTTTTATTTCAAAACTTTAAAGTTCCATAGTACAGGACATTCATGGGTTATCACTGATACATATATGCTCTTCGATAACAGGCACCTTGATGTTTGGAGAAGGTGACCTGTCCCGGAAGTGCATGTCTGAGTCGGGCCCAGAGAAGCTGGACTCTCCCTGGGTCACATGTCCAGGACTGACCTGGTTGCTCCTTTGCAGATCCTGCACTTTGCGGGCGAACTCCTTGGCCTCCCGGTGGCATTGCTGCTCCAGCTTTTCCACTCGCCGCTGAATCCGTTCGTCCAGCTGCTTCAGCTCTTCTATGTGGTTCTTGAACTCCTCCAGCAGCCTGTAGGGGGCAGAAGGGAGCAGCACTTGGATCCTCACTTCATCCGTTACTGAAGCACCAGGCCGTACTACAGTTCAAGCACAAACCGGGGGGAGCTGTACCACATGGGGCGGGGGCGGGGGGGGGGGGGGGGGGGGGGGGGGGGGGGGGGGGGGGGGGGGGGGAGGACTGCAGCCTTAATGAGGTTTTCAGCCTCTTAATCCCGGGGAGCCCTGAGCTGAGGTCAGAGCCCTACAATGGGGACTGGCAGCTGTACCACTGTCTTACAGTGTCTGCAGGAATCAGAGAAATAAGCAAACCACTCAGCAATCTGCCAATTTCCAGTCTGACTGAATAACTACTGCTACCCCAGCGAACCTCCCAGCAACAGTTAAAAGTAAGAATTGCATTGTGAGGTTCATTTCTAGGCATTTGGATTTATGCGACCCCGCACAAGCTGAGACTGGCCAGCTCCATTATCACAGCAATAGGGACTGCAAAGCAAATGCACCACATCAGCACTGGTTTCCCTGGACGAAGGGCAGAGTGTGTCCCAAAGTGATGACCATGTAATCTCCCAAATAAGCCCCTCAGCGCTGGCAGCCACGGCTTAGAGCCACGCCCCCTTCCAGCACGCATTCCCCAGCTAAATCATCATGAGGGCCAGTGGAGTGTGCTCCCATGATGCACTGCACAGACACACCTACAGCCCGGCGCATGCCAAGCAGACAATACAGAACTATCAGCTTGTCAGACATGCTGAGACACACAGAAGCCAGCGTTCTAAAATGGGTTATCATCTAATATGGCGACAATGTGACATGACAGTATTGCCTGATTCAAATGGCAGGGTGTGGAGAAAATAGGGAATCGCTGGGCCTCTACCAAGGATTTCTCTGCACATACTGACGGTTATTCAAACAATGTCTGACATTAACATTTAAGTGAGGAAAAAGTTGGAGTCAGAGAGCAGGATCAGCCAGCATCCCTGGAGCAGTGGGAGTTAAGCCTTGCTCAAGGACCCAAGGGTGATATGATTATTCTACCGGCCACAGGATTTGAACCCACGACCTTCCGGATAAGGGCACAAATCCCTAACCCGCTGGGCTACACACCGCCTGCCATTGGCTAGAGTCTGACCTTCGATCAGTCAGAAAAAAACAAATTCCATCTGCGCACCGCGAATCAGCCAACAACATAGAGGTGAATCGGGTTGGCAGTCACAAACCGTTACAGACCACCAAAATCTACCACAGGGCCAGAAACAGTGTTCAGACACGAAGCATTTTTGTGGCAGCACTGTTTACTGTGCATTCAGTCATGGATTCACACACCGTGTCTTCAGAGAGGGATAACAGCGCCGCTACCTTTTGGGGTCGAAAGCCTCGGCCCCTCCCTTAGAGCCCCCCCCAGGGGTCCTCCAGGCCAGCCTCTCAATGTATTCATCTGCATCAAAGGGCTCCTGCAGGAAAAAAATCCAAAGAGCAAAATGTGAAATCAAGCCCACAGTTACACGAAACATTTCTGTAAATCCTTATTGAACCTGAAACGTCATTCAACTGTATTGCATTTGTTTTTAAATCTTTAAAAACAATCTTTAAGCATTTTGTTTTATGGCATACAAAGAACAGTCAGTGAACACGCCAGACAGTTGGAACATGTTAAAAACACAAAACCTATTGGCCGTTAACCGGAGATCCGTCTTTACCGGAAGGACTTTAATATTCCCAATTATTTAAATCTAATAACATCAACTAATCACAAAAATACAACTATCCGTCTGTCGCAACGATTCATCTGCTTTATATGTGTAATAGCGACGGAGGTCATTTATATGCGAGGTTTCTGTTGAGGGCTTTTATACGCAGCCGTATCCGCATCTGTGCACAGCTGTCTGTGCACCGACAAGCCTCTGACAGTCTGTTAATTCATATTAAGGATAATACGGAAACTTAAATCAGATACATTCTGAAAAGGAAATAATTTAGCTATTTTTTGTTTTCAAGTAAAAACTTAAACGTGGCGTCTTCAACTCTACCACTGTTAGTGCCTGTTAGCTAACTAGCCTAATAGGAACATACCTGGTAAGCGCTTAATGGTAATAACCCTAATCATCAAGTGAGCGAGTTATACATTCAAGAGATCACCGCGTGTGTGGATGTCTAACCAGCGATACGAACAGAAAGACGAGTCAAAATGGAAAAGCTAAAGATAAAAATAAACCAGGACGACTAGTAGGTGTTTAACTGGGCGGCTAAATCCTCCTGACAGGGAGCTCGGCTGCATCCTCCCAGATCGCAAGCCCACCTCAAACAACTGAGGCGATGCCGACATGGTTCACGTCCAAGCGAAAGCGGAGCCTCGGCGCCTGAGTTAGTATCGCTCGGCTTCGGTCTCTGGGCTGCCCGCTGTCGTTCACTGCTGCAGACGGACCCTCTGCTTCCTGGATACAGCAGCCATGTCCAGACCGGAAATGGGGACGACGAGCCCGGTTTGCGGCGGAGGCTGGAAAGGGAGGAGATCCGACTCCGAGCGCTTCCGAGCTGTCTGCGCACCGCCAGCTCCGAGGGAAGGAAAAGTATTGTGCTAAAATATCGGGCACGGAATCAATACGAAGTGTTCAAACGTCCACAGAGAATTATTTATTCACGAGTTGAAATAAATGTATGCTTCATGATGCGCATTTAAATTATATGTACAAATAATTATGGCGATTATTTGCAATTCTCATTTGATATATTTTCTATTATTGTTGAACAATATATATTTTTATAAGTTAATTGGTGGTAAGACAAACTAAGCTGGGAAGACGAATATGGACATGACAGGTCACGCGCTGGGGGAATGAGTTGTATCTACGCATGCGTGGTCACGTGGCTCGATAAACAGGAAACACTTGTGGTCTGGATGGTGGGAGCGTTTTGGTTCTCTTCTGCATTTTAAGAGCCTTGTGACTTCACTTGTAAATTAGAAATGTCGGTTTAAGAGCACCCTTTGTAGCAACTTTCATAGTATTCGGTTTTAATGCGATGTATATTGCTTGTCTTATCGTTTTGCATAACTTGCAATTTATTGAGTGCAACAAATTCCGTGTTCTGACTGATTGACAGATGTCTCTAACGAGAAACTAAATTTACCGTTAGACAGATACTTTGAAACGTGGATATGAGTTTTCGTGCTTTATGGATTATCACACACGAGAAAGGAGAGCAGGCGACGATATGTTTCTCAAGGTAAGTAATTATTACACTTTATGTGATAATATTTGGTTGTTTAGATATTAAACATCGTCGCTAAGGATTTTAGCATTTTCTTATAATATAAGTAGTTTGTATTGTGCACTATACGCACTTAATGTTGTTGTCTGTAGTGTTAAAAACCATTTTCGACCTGCTAAGCTTGTTTTATTGTCAAGATACCGTTGACCTTTTGATTAAATTTTATTTTACTTGTTGGATGTCCTTTTCAGGCGTTACCCCACAGTGGAACTGCGGGCAAAAGCCTATGCAGGGGAGAACTACGTGGCTGTCCCTGAAGACACTGCTATCCTATGCCCCCTCCTGACTGAGCTTGGGCTGACGGATCCTGACAAAGCCTTTATGGTCGCCCGGGATGACTGTGCTCGTTCCCAGCACTCCCCTGCCTTGGAGCTGCGTCTGGAGGGTCGAGATGGTGGCGTCCTGTGGCCTCTGTTGACTATGGCTCAAGGTGGGCTGATCCTGGCCTGTCTTCCCCTGGTGGAAGCTCCCCTTGAACCTCGGCCTCCTCTCCCTAGCCTGGCCTCTGTGTCCCTGGGCCTGTCTTTTTTGGAGGGCCTGCAGATTTTCCTGAGTGGCACTACAGGGAAACTAGAGTTGGAGGCCCTAGCATCAAAGTTGGCTCTCCTGCCCACTGTCCTGCTGCAGGTGTGTCCCCTAGGAACCCCGAGGGACACCCCGCAGGTGGGCGTTACTGCCCCGCCGGGCCCCGCGGGGTCTCAGAAACAGCCAGCCTGGAAGCCTGGCCTGCATCGGGGACGGGCCATGGTAAATGTGGCCGTGAGCGAGACTGTGCGGTCCATGCAGTATGGCAGCCCCACCATGCAGGACCAGTGGGATGTCTATGGGACTGTGACCTGCAAGGTGAGCCCATAGGAAATATGACAGTGATGTTTACTGTAACCTGCCTGCCCTGCTGCTGTTCCACTGCTCATCCTGCCATCAGAAGCAGCACCAGCACCTGTGTGCCATCATGTTCCTGACCTCCGCATTGAGACTCAAATCTTAAAATTTGGACTGCGTAAATTAGAATTTGCCATCTTGTTCATTTGACGACTTCTGCCGGCCCCCGGAGGATGGGCTCCCCCTTTGAGTCTGATTCCTCCCAAGATTTCTTCCTTCTAGGGAGTTTTTACTTGCCACTGCCACCTCTGGCTTGTTCGCTGGGGGATTTGGGTTGGGAAAATGTAAAGTGCTTTTAGACAATGTAAGGTGAAAATGCACCTTACAAATAAAATTGAATTGAACTGAATTTAAGGCACCAGAAATGTGTATTAGTGCAAATTAGTACAACACATGGCAGCAACTTTTATGTCGGATTAATATTTATGGGTTCTATCTCTCTTGAGTACTTGATTGTAATCAGATAAAATTAACTGAGGTTAGCATATCTTTTCCTGTATGACTGCCCGTGTCTGTTTGTGTTTGCGTGTTTGCAGTGTGAGGTAGAGGGGGTCCTGCCCAACGTGATGGTCACCCTCTCGTTACCCCCCAACGGCTCCCCGCTGCAGGACGTGCTGGTCCACCCATGTGTGACATCGCTGGACTCCAGCATCCTGACTGCCAGCAGCGTGGACGACGCTGACGGCTCCTCCTTCTCTGGCCCGTACAAATTCCCCTTCTCCCCACCCCTGGAGCCCTTCCGTCTCTGCAGTTACACATCCCAGGTCAGCGAGCCCTGGAGGACCGGGCCTCAATGAGCCGGATCCATCCAGTATCACCTTGATGTCCCCCCCTTTGAGAATGAATGTTAGCATGCCTCCTAGCGTTAATGCCTCCTGGGCGCATGTTTCTGTCCAATCGCAACGCAGGTGCCCGTCCCCCCCATCCTGGGCTCTTACCAGCTGAAAGAGGGCAGCCACCTGGGAGTGACCCTGAGCCTCAAACTGCATGAGAGCGTTCGCAACAGCTTCGAGTACTGCGAGGCCCAGCTGCCTTTCTTTAACAGGTCATCATCATGACATTTTTTTAGCTAAATTCACACCATTCATAGTTTTGAAAGTATCCACCCCCCTGGCCAACGAAGAGGTTTGTGTTGGTATGTGCACCAGCTGATGCTGTACACTTGAGGTGAGGTTGAGTTCCTCTACTCTCACTCTGCAGGGGCCCTTTGAGCAATGTGGACGTGAAGGTGAGCTCCGGGCAGCTGGAGGTGTCCAAGGAAAAGAGCATGCTGGTCTGGGTGCTGGGTACGTCAACTGGAACCGCCAGCAACCCAATCCTGAGTTGTTATGCGAGATCTGCCTGTGTGGTAATGATTCAGGCATCTTACCCACTTTAATTCTTCAGGTCAGAAGTTTCCTAAGAGTCGGGAGGTTTCACTTGGGGGCAGCATGAGTTTCTCTGAGCAGTTGTCAGGACCGACTGACCCGCTTTGTACTGGCCTAACAGCCTATGTTAAAGTGAGTACATCTGTACACAAAAAAACACAACCAACATCAATCTAATTTAATATTTATTGTAATAATCAGTACTGATTCCCTAGTGGCTACATTACCTTGACTTATTTCATAACCCTATTTTGTAATTTAGCCAGTGGAAGTGCAGTTTGTCCTTTTTACTGTATTGCAGCTGTGTTTCCGGGTGCCGGACTTGACCCTGTCTGGCTGCTCTGTGGACCAGCATTCAGTGCAGGTTTACTCATCTGCGAAGCCTCGTATCACCACCTGTGAGTGTCCCCCGCGTTCGCCCACCAGTAACAACAAACAGTCAGGAAACTTTAATACAAGCTGATCTTTAGTGTCCTTAGTGTGATATGAAAGTGAATGTTACAATATAGAAGTTTTGAGAATAATAGGATGATTGAGGGGGCCAGGCCTGAAGGTTCTGTCTCTGATGTTGTTTGAGTGGTGTATGCATGTTCTCTCCACGTTCATATGGGTTTCGTCTGGTAAATCGGTGTCTTATTCTGTGTGTGTGCCATGTTATGGACTGGCATCCTATCCTAATTGTGCCTTATACCCTGTGCTTCCTGAGATAAGCTCTAGGCTCAACAAGGCCCTGTAGTGGATTAACATTTATGCAAGATGGATTGTTCGATGGGTTAATATAGGGAATTATTGCACTGTTGCAGTTACCTACTGAAACTGACACATTTATCTCTTCAGCTCGTGAGCTGGTGTCCTCCGAATACTACATCTGGAACTGCACTGGCGACGCCCCCGTCTCCTCAGGGCTTGCTGTACTCTAGGTTTCCCTCTGCTGGCTGGATGACTGAATGCACTGGGAATGACTGGGGAGGAGCATTGCTTGGCGCTGCTGCAAAACAGAATGCACTGTTTCTGCACTCAGATTCAGCGTGAATGAGGAAAATAACCGGATCTAAGAACCTTCCCAGCATGACGGCGGCCGGCGCTCCAGTGCTGCTGTGTCTGAAAAGACCTCGATGTTTTCCAAAATGGAAGAAAATGAGCCGACTTTTTATACCAAGTTCTTGGGCGGACTGGTAGATCCGCGTCTCATCTACACATTAGCAGCACTAACCTGTTGGTTTCTAATGACCCTCCTGCTTGTCTTCTGATGGCATCGGCTGCAGAGGAAGCCGGTATTGAGCTCCCCTATCGCACTAATGGACACTTTCAGACTGACCCAACGGCACATTTTTGGGTCAATGTCGGTCTAGGACATTCACTGTATTAATGGGAACAAAACATCACTGCACAGGGCTGGTGAAGGGAGGGTAGATTCAGACACGCTGTTAGATTAGACTGTATAGTACTGGGTTGACCTTTTCTTCTGCAAAATTAAATGTGTATGTCTGGTTTTGACATCATGTCTCGATTAAGGAGCACGTTTTCCGGTGCTGTGGCCCATTCAGCCGATCCGGAACCTTAAATTCTCCCTTGTCCCGTCCCCCTGCTCACACAGACTCACTTCAGTGCCTCTCAATCAGCCTGGTAATTAGCAGCCAGGGGCCCCGCAGCCATTTGGAGTGGGGGGGCGGGGGGGGTGACCGGCGGAGGGCTCGCACCCTTGAAGGAAAAACTTGATGGGGAGGGGGCCCTCATCAAAGCCACAAAGGGCATGTCTGGAGCTCTGGCGGCCCCCGTCCTGTTCATCTTCAACTAGCCAGCAGCCCAAGGCCCTTCAGACATACTGCCCTGCTGTGCTGGGGCTCTCGCTGTAGGCTGGAGGGTCCCGTCGCTGAGTGGCTGAATGGCTAATTGAGGCGGCAGATGTGAAGGAGGACCTGAACGATGGGACATGGTTGTGTGTGTGTGTGTGTGTGTGTTAGGTTTGTATTACATTGTGGGGACCAAATGTTCCCCACAAGGTAATAAAAACCTGTTGTTTTGACGTTGTGGGGACCATTTTTCAGGTTCCCAGAAAGATCTATAAATGAAATCAAACTAAAAATGCCAAAAGTCTCATATTTTGTTTGGTTACTTTTGGTTAAGGTTAGGGCTGGGTAGGGGTTAAGGTCATCATGTTGGGATTAGGGTTTTTCCAATAGAATTGAATGAAGAGTCCCCACAAAGATATGAGTACAAACGTGTGTGTTTGTGTGCGCGTGTTTGTTTGTTTGTTTTTTTTTGGGGGGGGGGTTATTAGGTTGTTCTGGGTCTCTTACTGTTCCCGTGTGTCCAGACACATGATGAAGGTAAATGAGATTGACAGCAGAGTGCTGACTGACAGATGACTGGTGTCACTTTGCAGTCACAGTCCAGTGTGGCTTTCAGTCTACAATCTGTATGAACTCAGTAGGGCTTTTGCAGTGATGGTTTGAGGTGGCTGCACAGACTGGGGTTTTGTCTCGCGGCCAGACCAGTTAACTCACGTTGACACTGTACGTTTCAATAATCTGGTTGCACTAGGGCCCTTTGTGTGGGTGTATTGTGAGTCATCTACACGCTGTGTGTCCTCTCTTTGACACATGATGCATTCGGTGACACAGAATCTTTGGGGCCACGGAGATGCTCTTCTGTCCGTGCGTCCTGGGAATTCCTCTCGGCTCGGTGTCACCTCTGACCCCCCGCCCCCCCCCCCCCCCCCATGAGCCCCTGGCTAATCCCCAAGACGCCCGTCTCAGAAGGCATTGCCATTGTACCCCCTGTGTGCCCCCCTCCCTCCAGACTCCCACCCAAAGTCTGAAGCAGGTCACCCCCCCCATGCGGTTCATTGCCTCACCTTTCCGGCGAGGGTACTCAGTTGCTGTTGTAGGATATATTCTCCCCCCCCCAAAGCTGCCTCAGTCACATGCTCCTCTGGTTCTCTTCCCCTGCCTTCATGGGCTGGCTGGTGATGAACATCTCCTGTCTGATCGTCTCTGGGGTGGCAGCTCAGCAACAGCGATGTGAGGGCTGGTGGCACTGCTGGTGTTAAAGGAAGCCTTGTGTTGCACTGCAGACAGACTCTAATGAGAGGCCTATTGTCCAGCGGCCTCCTTCCCCGCCCCCTGGCTGATAGGGAGACAGATTTCTCACGTGGATTTTCACCCTAAACATTGACCATGACCAATCCCCAGTCAATCGGAGCCAGTTGCTCGCAAGGTGCCTGTCCCCCTAAACCCCGTTAATATGGGATGGCCACCACCCTCTGAACTTTCCTGGTACTACAATGCCATCGTCGTTTCCACTGTGTGTCTGTGTGTGTGATCTGCTGGACAGGGGATGACTTATGTACTGAAATCTGCCCAGAAGCTTCAGAGCGCGGCAGCACACAGTCAGACTGGCTCCCAGAATCCCTGTGGTCACTGGGCTCTGTCTAGCTGGCAGATGCTTCTTTGTTAAGTAAGTAAACCCCCATTTGGTGGGCTGCTTTTTTGCTTGGGTAGGAATGCAAAGTAATGCCCCCCCCCCCCATGCGTGTAGATCTGTGCAACATGAAAATTATTCAAAATGAAGGAATCGTTGGCTTACCTCCTGTTGGGCACCTTTGACATTCCTGCAGCTGCTTCACAGGTGTCCGTGGAGAGAGGAGAAATCATCTGGGGATGGCAGGGGCTATCAGACGGCCGGCATTCCTCGCCGCATCGCTTCCCAGTCACGGTGAAGAAGGAAATCAAACTAAAAGAAGCTGTATACCCAAAGGCACAATGGGTTTAGGGTAGGTCACTGATTGGAAAAATGAGTAAAACTCATATTTGAAAATGGTAACAAAAAAAAAACATATTCAGAAGTACATGAGCTCACACCTAACAATAAATTGTCAACATCATTTATTTGACAGAATTGTATGCTTATCAGGGTGCTAAATGAAATGTATATTTCTACCCTGTACTCAAATTGAAATTTTACTTGTATAATATAAAATCTGCATCTAATAAAACTAGGTCTATATATAGATAGCAGTGACTGTCATTCCGTTCTTCGGGGAATGTGGACTATAGAAACCGTTCCGTTAGCCTTTGGTTCCCCCTAGCGGCCAGTTTATCTAACACCCCTGTCTGTATTGCAATATATTCTCAGTCGCTCACAATTTGCGCTCATTGTTTCACTTGATATTCACAATGAATCTTGACTGCTTTTCGGTATGGCTGTTAGATTTCACAAGGCAAATTAATAGTTCAAAGACCAAAATCAAACCATGTACTTCAGCTGCAGAATTTACAGCTATTTTGTTGAGTTGATTGACTTAATCCCGGTTAGCTGCTACTCTCTAAAATAATCTTTCATGGTTATGCTTTAGTTTCGGAGATTCCGAGATGTCATAAAATTTAGTCCAACGGCAAAGAATGTGAATGCATTATACGGGTTATAAATCCAATGCCTGACAGCCAATTCTGATGTTAAACGTCAAGGAAAATTTATACTCTGAGCATTTCGTAAGAACACTAGCTTGTGATAACGCATAAAGCATATAAATTATATTCTTTAAAACCTGAGTTTTTTCTGCAGTACGCACTTTCGTTCGGGAAAGCCGCAGTGTTTTTTTGAGAGGCCATGAAAACACTTGATCAGAATGTATTGCATTTTGAAAGAAACCTTGTGCAACCTCAAGATATTTTGCTTTGATTTTAGCACAATATAATAACAATTAATGGCATACTTCTCGTCTGCCGTATATATCTTATTCCACACACACACACAAACTTTGATGTTTATTTACAAATAAGCAGCCATGGTGGGTTAAAAAAGACTACATCGATTGCACATGGTCTCTGGTTCGGGTTCATTGCTAAAAAAAAATCGCCGCTCCCACGAATGTCGTAAAGCATGCCCCCCGACACCGGCACTTTACGGCAGTAACGACCAGCGAAGAGGCAAGGAGAAACGGCACCGAGACGTGTGCTGTGAAATCTCTCACAGGTGAACGCTGCTACCTGGTGGACTACAGCAACGGTCTAGCGATTCCGCTTTAGAGACATTGCATTTGCTGTACGGTTTTCCCTGAATGACGTGGGATGGCTGAGGTGCCGCCTGGGCCTAGCGCACTGCCTGCATCCCCGGCCGAAATTATCCCCTTCCCCGGGGGTGTATGCACTGTCCCCGGGGGAGGGGACGAACGAGATTGCGGGCGAGGAGAGCCAGTCAAAACGGAGACAGGACAGCTTCAGCAAGCTTGTGAAGGGAAAGGGACGAACAAATCGAACCAGAAATGCCTCTGCTCCCACCCGTCAGCTCATTTTCACACGCAAGCGCCGCAGCAGCTCAACGGCTTGATCGGCACCGCCGAGGACGGCCTCCTGTCTAGCCAGCACCGCAGCCGCGTTCAGAGCCACCTTCACCACCCCGTGCACAGACCGCCTGACGGCCAGAGAGGCCAGTCGGAGTACAGTGACAGCGCCGGGGAGGCCCGCGGAGGAGCACAGGAGAACTGCCACGCCGATAGTAACCATGGGACGTGTCCGCAGCGGAGCCGGTCGTCTTCAGACAACGGAATCTGCGGCGTGCCGGCCGCCGCAAGGACTGAGCGGAGTCCCGGCAGCCCCGCGGTGGAGGAGCCGGGCAGCGCCCGATGCCCAGAGGATGGGGAACTGTCATCCCCGGTGCGGGAAATGGCTGGGCTTTGTTTGAACAGCACGCCCGAGGGAAAGCAGGAAGACCCTGCCATTGAGTACGTGAGATACGAGTCTGAGCTGCAGATGGCGGACATCATGAGGCTGATCACCAAGGACTTATCGGAGCCCTACTCCATTTACACTTATAGGTACTTCATTCACAATTGGCCTCAACTCTGCTTCCTGGTACGTAGACTGTCGCTGCCTTAAGACTGTAGCTGTGTTGGGATAACCTTTGGGATGACACCCCCCCCCCCCCGGATCAGTAACGTGTATCTTATAAAGTTTTGACAGCCGGGTGAGCTTCTGTAGGCCAGAATTTGTTCATTACCATGGTTGACCTTCTCCTGAGTCAGACTAGGTATATAATCATAGCGTGTAAGATCTTCCATTAATGCGGTTGGTTGAGTGCTTCAGTCACAAATGAAATCCTCCCCCCCCCCCCATTTGAAAGCAAACGTCTCATCTGTAAAGGATTAGTGGACTTAGGAAGCAGTTCACCTGCTATCTGGGACCTAAGGCAGCCCTTTCCCTGTCATTTCAATGGCTGAAACCTCACACTACAGCTTATACTCCCTCTGTAGTTTTTGGGTGTTTTTCTTTCCTCTAAATGCAAAGTTCTGTTTATGGGTCACCCAGCACTGTATCGAGGTGCCCATGGCCTCGTCTGTCCTCCACTGTCACCAGGAGATTGTGGGTGGCTTCTCGTGCCGTCCAAGGACCCTGGGAACTGGGTGACCTTGCAGGGCGATAACCCACACCAGTGTATCTGTACCATCATTATGAATACCAGTAACTCTTAATGGGTTATGTGTTTCTGGGATCCTTATTTGGGTTTGGGTTTATGCTGCTGGTCATGGATCAGTGAGGTTTTGCCAGATTTCCTGTATTCTGCTCTGAACAGCCATTGAGTCCCAGTAACAATCCTCTGCATTCTGGGTCTTATGATGCAGGCTGGTATAACCCACTTTTACATTATGATATTGTGGTCCTTCTGCAACTAAACATCTGCATATTTACCCCATTAGGGAGACCGCTGTGATTAATGGCAGCGTGGCTGCAGCCTGGTTAGTGTCTCCGCACTCTGGGTGGTTAATATAGTCGCTCCGTTATGGGGCAGGGTGGGGGTAGCACAGAAGGCTGGAGGTGCTGGCCCACACCTTCGCAGGGCCTTTGGCGTCTGTCCCAGCATGATTTACCTTCTAGTTGTGTGTCACTACTGTGGAGGAGATGAATCTCTCAATCTAGAAAGTGTTGGATGAAATGGATGAAACTCTATGGTGGTTTATATGGATTTGAGTCATCTGTGTAATATTCTGCTAAAGGTGTGTTTGGGAACACCTGGCTGTGCAGGACTGTGTGACAGGAGGCAGACAGAGATTGAGCCCTAACCATCGAAGCCTCATAGGCAGGTCGTGAGCAGCGTTATCCCGAATAGCTGAAGGTTTAATGGAACAAACAGAGCCTAAATCTGTTTTTCCTGGTTAGTCTTTCTTTCCCATGAGTCACTCGCCTTTTGAAAGCACGGGACTGTTTCCAGGGGTGTAGCCGCTGTGTAAAGCCTGCCGCGGTCACCCCCGACCTCCCACCCCGTCCACATTCCTCACTGGCATTGCTGTCGCGCAGGCAGTGGTGCAGCAGGAGTGCGTGGGGGCCATCGTGTGCAAGCTGGACATGCACAAGAAGGTGTTCCGGCGCGGCTACATCGCCATGCTGGCCGTGGACTCCAAATACCGCAGGAAGGGCATCGGTGAGAGCCTATCGTGGGGGCCCACGTGGCTGCCGCTCGGAGCAGCCCCTCCCAGTGCCTGTGCAGCTTCTCCCCTTCACGTGCTCTGCTCCTTCTCCCCCCCCCTTCTCTTCCAGGTACCAATCTGGTGAAGAAGGCCATCTACGCCATGGTAGACGGGGACTGTGACGAGGTAGTGGGGCGGCCCGGGGGGGGGTGACTGCTGCTTAGACCCTGTCCGCCCACTTGGCAGAGATTGATCCGGTGCTCTCCATCCCTTCCCCAGGTGGTGCTGGAGACGGAGATCACAAACAAGTCGGCCCTGAAGCTCTATGAGAACCTGGGTTTTGTGAGGGACAAGCGGCTCTTCCGCTACTATCTCAACGGGGTCGATGCGTTGAGGCTCAAACTGTGGCTCCGCTAGCAGCCCCCCCGCCACCCACCCCCTCCCAAACTGACTCGCTTCAACCGCCTCCAGTCGGAGAGCCCTGCCTGGACATGAATTCAAGGAACAAGTTTTCTCTTAGCCAGGGTGGAGGAAGCCTGACTGACTGGATACAATCAACACAGGGCACATGAGGACAGAGTAAAATCTATAAATGATTAATAGTATATATTAAGAGGTTTTTGAATGAACTTACCCTGGCGTGTGACTTATTTTACCCCAAATATGGATGTTCTGTGGGATGAGGGTGCCGAGAGGAGGGGTCTGTATCCTTAGACTCCTCCCCCAAAATCAGCATCCTCTTCTCCCAGCGCCTGACTGCATCATGTGGCTGCCGGTTCAAACCGTCCAATGGCAGATCGATGTGAGGGACCTCCCACTTTATTTTTTTATGAACGTAGTGGCACACAAGCTAGAATGTGCGGTTAAAGAAATGGTTGCAAAAAAACTATTTGTGAAACATTTTTATCGCATTACCCCCTCCATTCTTTTATTGGAATGGAAGCATTTTAGTGCGTGAATTTATAGGGGATGCAGGGGCTTGGGTGTGTGTGTGTGTGCTTGCGTGGTGTTTTTGCATGAAGGGAACATTCTAGAACGGCATTGTGTTCCTCAGGGGAGACTTGCTGTTCCCCTGGCATATAAATGCTCATTTCTGTTCATTCTTTCATACAGGCTTCACAAAAAGAAGTATATATTAGATAATATATTTTTAAAAGCACATTGAGACCTCTGGTTTGGTCAGGCTTATAAACTCATACACTCTTTATTACTGCCAATGAGGGAACCTTGCAAAGTGTTGCCCAGTGTGAGTTTAAGTGCCAAGAGATTGTTTCAGAGGTGCTATAAGGGGATGCAAGTCTCCAAATACAGTGTTTCATGCTCTTCTGGTTGTTGGGTGGGGGTTGAATAACATCACTGTGTTCTTTACAGATTGCTTTAAGTCCAATCATGCCCTCAGATCCATGTGAGTGGTACCCCCCCCCCCCCATGCCTACAAGGTGTATTTTTTTTTAATTTATTTTTTATAGTCCCCCTCAGTGAAAACACCCTGTTTGTTTTGTGGAGAGGGACATGCTGTTGGGTACAGTAGTAGATGGGCTCATCAGGACAGTGAGCGGTCGTCTTTTCCTTCAGTGTGTTACGGCAATTTTAACAATATGGCTTTTGTTTCCACAAGAAGAAATTGGTTTTCTCTTGTCTTTTTCATACCCTTGCTTACTGAAGGTGTTTGATGATGTTATTATTTTTATTTTTGCGGGGGGGAAGAGTCCAGCATTGTATTCCTAATGCATCTTACTTTGGTGGAGGGGGGGGATAATGCATCCATGGCTGCTTTTGAAGATTTTAAGTTTTGTTTTCCCTGTTTCTTTTAATTGATCCTGGGTGATGCGTTGAAGGGCATCGTTTCGTGCTCCCTTCCCCCCTGGCTGTTGTCGGAGCTTGTGGCTGGACGGTGACAAAACTACCCTTTGTTCTTCTCTCGGTTCCTGTAACGGTCACCGCTTCAGTTGGTGTCTCCATGTGTAGGTGTCAAGGTTGTTTTGCAGATCCTTTCTATACCACGATCCCTTAATTTGTAGTCGTCTTTGGTCGGTGGAGCTTGATTTTAATCCGCCAGAAGGTCCGGAAGATTGAGCATCGAGCCTCACTGTCCGACAGGCCAGGAGTGTCTGATGCTAGCAGGGAGAATCGGTGACCAAACAGCAGCTCCGCTCAGCTTAGTGGTGGATTCCTTATAGACCTCAGCAGCTGTTGCCATATCAGTTTTCTCAAAATGCTCAGAAATTAAGTGGTGAGTTGCGTTTTGGGCTAATTCTGTTCATCCCAGCAGCATTAGCAGAGTGCCTGTTCTGCACGTGTTTGTTGGTTTACTGCCACATGCGTTGATCCGCCCTTCTAACTAGGTGTCAGTTCCGCTATGGTTTGTGTACAGTGAAATGTTTTTAGAACTTTTGATTGAAGTTTTAGGTGGAAACAGGTTTTATCGTGCCATCAGGATTCCCAATGAATAAGTCAAGAGTTTGTTGCATGTAACCCCTGTCTAGTATGTTTATCAACGTGTGCACTTGGAGACCGATTGAGATTATACTTGTTTAACTGACAACAGAGCTGCTCTGTGCGTAGATTTTTGGCATCTCCATTCTTCACGTCAGTTTGGGATGAGTTTTTCTTGGGTGTTTGGGTGGAAGGGCTTTTTTTTTTTTAAAATTTAATTTAGTTTTAATTTAGATTGGATTATTCTCCCCCACCAAGAGGTGCACAGGCCCCTCAGTCCGGTGGCTAATTTGGGGCAGGTGTTTGATGGCCTGCCAGCTACTCCTCCAGCATGTAGCTTCACCGCCAGCAGACGGGTCATCAGCCGTGGTTCCAGCTGCAAGCAATGATTATTCTGAAGAGCAAGTGCATGCTTTGGGACGGCCTTGGTAGGGGGGAGAGTCTTTTAAGGACAGGGCTAAAGGAAATCTTGGTCCTGTTTTGGCAGTTTGACTGGGCTTGACAGTGTCAAAGCAAGAAGGCCTTTCCTCCACCTTGATGTGAGTGACACTGTCCACCCGCCGCTCCATGGAAACGGGGGACAGGGATTTCCGGTGTCAGCCGGATGGAGGAGAAGGCGCTCATTCTGGCCTGTTAGTTGTGCCTGACTGGGTCCTGTACATGTTCCTGGTATAATACTTGCGTCTCTGGGGCAGAACCTTGTGGAGGGAAGAGGGGGAATTTTGCATGTGGATTATTTTTTTGCTTCCCCTTTTGGTTTATTTTCAGAATGTATTGCAAGATAACTTTTTATTTAAAGTGATCAAAAGTTGGTAATAAATTATTTGGTTTTTAAAAAAAAGTTTGTTGCTCATGGTGAAAGGCTTTTGGTTACACAGTGACCAGTGTTCTTTGTACCTGTCCTGCATCTCCTCTGCTGCATTCATCCATTGGTTCATCCTGAGCAGTCATGTGATCCTGTTTGATTGACATGTACGGCACCACAGATGAAGGAGCGGTGAGGATGCGTGTTTTTCTTCATATGCAGAGTCATGTCCAGCTGAGAGATAAGCTACATAAAAGACATTTAAGATTCACACGGACGGTTATGGCATTGTAACCATTTCTTCAGATATGATGGGAATTAAATTTTGTTTTTAATATAATTACTCTTAATGAGGAATCTAGTTACCAAACTAGCTGGGAATCCTTAGTAAAAATCAACAATGTGGGGAGTAAAATTCCATTAAGTACAAGATTAATTTGCTGTCTGTATAAAATTATGTGTATCTTTACCTTTTCAGTCTTTTAAAATCATGTCTACACTTGGATAATCATTGTCAGTAGGTGGCGCTGTGATCTTCCAGTGTCTGCAGCTGAATCCATTAAGGGGAAGCTCATATTTATACAGTCGCTTCTTGCTCAGGACACATTTGCCTCCGTAATGAGTATCCCTTTAAAAGGGTCTAAAAGAATTACGAATGGTCCAGTGTGGTTTTGTCATGCTAATCATAAAGATATCAGCTGTGCTTATTTCAGGCACTATTGGGAACAGGCCAGCTGTCTTTTATAGTGGTTTATGAATTCACAGGAAACAAGCCAATACCTTGTCTGTTTTTGAAGCCGTATACCTAATGTGCAGGATTTATATAAATAACATGGACATCTGAGATGGAAATATCGAGTCCTCTGTGTACAGAACCTATATAGAGCTGCTGAGAGATGAAACGGATGCATTACAGAGGCTGTCATTATAGTGATTTTACTTCATCAGTACAATGCGACATCTGATGCAATTAACCCACGTCTACCCAAGATAAGTCTTTTGTGCCAGATGCATGTTTTAAAGAGTGTCCTGTTAGTGCTGGACTGCTTCAAGCTCTTTACAGTAAGTGAAGCACTTCAGTGATTGAGAAGGTGGATTGGAGATCACAGGCTCATTTTATGCTTAAGTGATCTCTCAGGTACAGTATGTACCTCTGCAGTTCTTCATTCACGTTATATATCAAAGTCCAAGCGATCATTGAATGACGGAATGAGTTCTGCCCTGGTCCTGTTGAGTCGGCCTTGCTGTCTCCGAGTTACTCCCACACCAGTCTCAAGTTCCCAGTTTTCTCTAGCAGGCAAGCAGCTGTTTCTGGCCCAGATACTCTCGTCCTCTTGTTGTGAAGAAGCCTCCAGCCTTGGCCTCATCGCTATCCCTGTGCTGTGCCTGTTCCCAGACACGTCCTTAGAGTTCAGTCCCCAGCCTTCGCTCACCTTCCACTCTAGCATCCAGGGCACAGATTTGTCTGTGGCTTCCTTTTGGGGGTGCTGGTTCTCCTGCCAGTTCACCTCGGGGCTCCATGTCCCCCCAGCATCACGCAGATCCACCACCTCACCTGGAGAACAGGCAGCACTGCCTTTCTCAGGCTCTCTGGAGCCTTCGCCCTCATCTCCAAAGAAAGTCCACAGATCTGCAGAACAGGTCTTTGCCTCTCTCTGTGCAGGGGGCTCCAGGCTTGACTCTGAAAGATATTGGAAGTCCACGCTCTCCCTGCTCAACACGTCCCAGAAGATGTCCCTCTCAGCATGCCTCTTGACCAGCTGAGCTGGACGGTTCAAGCTCCCATCCAGGCCTGTGTTAGCTGATAGGATCCAAGGGACGAGTATATTACTATCTTTTGTTTTTCAGGTCCTGTTCTGTAGATAGCTGTGGCTTACCCTCCCTCCAGTCTCACCATCGCCTGTAACCACGACCCTGGCTGCCCTCCGCTGCTCTCGCAGCTCCTGTGCCCGTCGTCGGTGAGCCCGTCGCTGGCTGCAGGCCTGTCGACCAAAGACTACTTGTGCCTCCAGAACTTCTCCCTGCCCCAAACCCGCACCCAGATGTCTGTTACCAGGAAGCCACTGGTGTATCCGGTGTTGGCCCCCCTAATTCACTTATCCACCAAAGGTCACAATGAACATGAAGAATGGCTCCCCCACCACCACCCCCCCACTCCAGTTTGCAGCCCCCACACCACCCCATGCCCCCGAGAAGAACCAGGACTCGATCCTGCAAGTCAAGTAACCGAAACCGGTAGCACTACCAAACAACCAAGCTACCTGAACAAATTCTAGAAACATTCATTCACAAATGTGTTACGTAAGTATAAAAGCAAGGGAGGAATGACATTTCTGCATGTGCTAAATCTACACACAAAGCACCCAGGCAGGATCTGAACCCATGAACCTATGAAAGCTATCCAGAGCCATCGTGCTCCTAGTAAATGCCAACCTCCTTCACTCACATGTGTGTTTTTGTCTTCTGGTTTACCTGTTAACTGCCACCGCATCACCTGGTAACCCGAAAGCGGGCAGGAAGGGTGTGCCACTGCAGGTTAACCCTCTGTGGCAGTAACTGGAAGGTCGCTAGCTCAAATCCCATGAGCACTGAAGTGTTTTCACTGGTGGGTCCTTAGCCATAATTGTTCCAGGACCTGGCTGACTGATCCGAACATGGATCTTGCATATTTCAGCTTGTTTTTTTTTCTTAACTAATGAAAATATTAAATGCTGATTTTCACCAAAACATCTCTGCCTTCCATTTAGATAATTCCTTCTACTAGGAGCAATACAGAAGTAAGTATTATGTCCCCTTTCCACTTTAACAGGCAGGAGCGCTATACTGTACCTACTGCTGCTTCTGAAACAGCACTTCAGATTCTCCGAGGCTAACTGTACATATTAACTTGTGCTGTGAGCCACAAGAGTTGGTGGGTCAAGGGTGCTTAGCAACTGAATCCCTAACTGGCACTTACAGTAAGTGTTTTGAAGGTAAACTTTGTGAACAGTCAGAACATTCTCTGCAAACGAACCTGCAGGTAAAAACCTGTTCTGCTGTTACATATGATCCCATGGATTCTGGCCAGGTTACAAATGGTGTGACGTGGTTTTCTCTCTTCTGTTTAGTATCAAGCTCCTTACTCACCCAGAGACAGTGACAGAGAGAGTAGAATGAGGAGTAAGTAACAGCTTGCAGCTGCGGATGTGTAGGATCCTGACAACTGGTTTGGGGTGACCAGTGCAAAACTCAATATTTTGACTGGTCAGCCACTACAAACCCTTCAGATACTGCTGGGGAGTGGTGCAGGCCAGCCTCAAACTGCAATCAGACACAAAAACCAGTCCATACTCACCGAATCACTCCCAGGCCCAACAATATAATTTGAACCCTCGAAAAACCTTATTAACGCACAAATGGTGAATCTACCATTTTGACAGAAGGTTCAGAGCCGCTGTATACACATGAATGGGATTCTCCACATGAGACACCCATGGTATTGGCTAACCAGCCACTTTCCACTCTGCTGGCACAGTAATCAGCTCCACTGGGCAGTCAGAACCCTGGGCTCAGCACTCGCCAGCTGTCTCGCCCACGCAAATGCAGCCATGCCTCGCCGGAGGCACCGAACACCGTCCTGCTCACAGGAGACCAGAACCCTAGCAAGCAAACAGTGCTCTGTCTTAGAATGCAGCACAGCTCAGAGAATGTCACTTACTGTAGGTCTGGAGGGAAGGGAAGGGAAGGGAGAAAAAGACCTCAGCATCCATTAGATTCAAAACTATTTCAGAATCTGATAAACAATTCATCAATAAGGTATTGAAGCAGAAACTCAGAGCTTGGTTACACTTGATTGGCACTTAAATTTCATCTGTCTTTTCATACATTCCACCCTTCTGCGTCTGAGGCCTATCTAGCACCCACACTGTGTCATAACTGACTAAAGAGCACTAGAAAAACTGCTGAATAATGGATGTACTTAGGCTGCAAGCAATAAAAATGTGGCCTTGCCTTGCAAACGCATCAACCTGCCTGGTTTACCTGTGAATGGCTTCCTGTGCCATAGCGCCCTCTGTGGGCAGCCCCACCTCTCCATTCTTTGTCCTAGAAGCAATGCAAAGTGGGTTTGTTATTAAAGAGACAGGACCACTGCACTGTAATGGCAAACAGATTAACAGGGATGTTTTGCTTAATAATGATGACAGTGGCCTTCTAATCAGGACCTTTTGATTGGTTCCCTCAGGTGGCATTCCAGCTGCAGATGACATCATTGGCTGTAGGGCCTGGAAGTGACGGGAGTGATGTCACTGGAGTATGCATCATGGACGCCGCCCAGCTCATTAACATCATTTGATCATCTACTGCCTTTTTCATTTTAGCTAAACAGTAGGGCCTCGGATGCACATTCAGAAGAGGAACATTCAGATACCCAGAGTGGTAGAAGATGGCACCATATCATCGTTCCCAGCATTTTTATGTCATTCTGCTGACCTGTGTTCTCCGGGGTGGGTGGGACTGAATGATGCTGTGGCCCACTTTACTACCGTGACAGCCAGGTAAGGAACCTGCCGACAGCAGCACAGACACAGACTGACAGGGACAGATAAGGAAAGACCTGAATCTCCTTAGAGCAGTGTTTCTCAGTCTGGTTTTCAGTGAGCCCCAAATGGTCAACATTTTTGTTGCCTCCTAGCTTGTTAGGGAGGGAGCAAAAATATGGACTCTCTGGGAGTGAGCTGGGAGGAAGCAAAAACACGGACTGTCTGTGGATCCCCAAGGACCAGAGTGGGAAACACTGCCCTAGACTAAACCTGCTCTCGAGTGTGTTCTGGGTCATTTTTACCAGGTTTTTAATCAATGTTCTCCTCAGGTTAACCTTCAAGACTTTTACTTAACAGAGGTCAAATTAACATGTCTAATTAAGAAGGTGAACACTGCATGGTGTAGATGTGCTACAATAATTCATAAGTGATTGGATGCAGTGGCTTATCATATTACTTGAATATAGGTTTGTGTTATGTAAACTTTAAGCAAATGTTTACGCTGATTATCTCTTTCCTGTACCTGGATATTAAATGTTGATGCCAATGCAAAAGTGATATCAGTTTGTGTCAGATTTCTGAGCAGGTGTGCAGATCTACCTGTAGAAAGCGGTGAGAGTGTCAGAGAGACTTCCTGTCTCAAGGGTGGAAGCTGCGTGATCCTCCTCCTTCCCACGCTGCCTTGCGGCTCCTCTGGGGGCTCTATGATCCAGTGTGAGGTGGTGTTGCTTTGTTCCTCGTCTTGGTTCCCCTTCCTTTCCACTGGGCTGGATGGCACCACCCGTGTCAGTTTTGACCTGGAAGTGTGGGATCCCATGGCCCACGTTTCCTACAGAGAGCTGACCTTACATCAACATTTGATACCACAGTGTCTCCAAGGACACGTTTGTTACAAAATACCACAATGTTGAGCTTTGAAAATGCAGTGTTTCTGCCTCTCTGTCCGTTATTGTGGTCTCCGGTGCGGTCGGGTCTATCCAACAAAGCACCTGTGTGTCCCAACGCTGCCGTTTCTCTCTACCAGTCTGCTCAAGTCCCTCTGTTTATGTGCTCTGGGTTAGTCAGTAACTGGGAACAAGGGAAATATGCCAGGTGGGACAGACTCTGTCACATCTGTCTGTCTACTTGTTTGTCCCTCCTACACTTTCATCAATTACTCACCTACATCACATTCTACTGTACTTTCTTTCTGTTACTCGCACCTAGTAATTGCTTAATAAAATATCAACATAAATCCAACTTAGACTTTCTTTTGGATACTGAAACACAACTGACAGCCACTGAATCGTTTCTACGCTCTTTCTTCCCTCACCTCAATGACCAAGGTTTCTATGGAAACTTTCCCTCCCTACTACTGGTTGGGTTATAACCAAGTTAATGATTCATTTGTTTCGGGTTTTCTTCCTTCTTTCTGCATGGGTAGTTCAAATATGTTCTGGCAGTTTCTGGTCACCTATAATTTTGAGTGGTGCTTGATGCGGAAAGCCCACTGTGTGCCCGCAGCTGCGGCAGACGCCACAGAAGGTCGCCATAGTGTGAATGAGCCGTCGGGAAGCCGAACCGGGCCTGTGTGATACTGAGCGGTGAAGACGAGTGTCCTAGTACCCTAGTAGAGTGCATAGACCTAACAGCTCACGATGAGGCAGAAACAGGAGCTGATCTTTCCTGAAGCGGCCAGTCACTTTCTCTCTTACGATATTACCTGCCTGGTTTAACAGATCAGCAGCAACACCTCTTTAGGAACGATGTCTTTCGGCACATCAGTCATGACTGCACACAGTAAATGTGCTCATCCTGGACGGGCTGACTCCAAGGAGGGTGCGTGCATGTATTTCTATATGCAAGAGATATTCAGGGAATTTCTGTTAAACCTCAGTCATCTGGGGTATTCAGATGACACACTCTTGACTAGTTGGATGCTTTGATTTCTGCTAAGATTTATATCTTAGCCTGGCACTAACAGGGTATTTAACCATTGCAATGATCAGTTTGATGTCTGTCAGTTTGAATTCTTCAGCTTCTAGACAGATGATTCTATGAAAAAGGGTTTGTTGACAGGTTTTCAGTAGCTCCTGTCCCTGCTGAGATACCTCCACAGCTTTGCAGCTGTGCCGCTAGGTATTAACAGTAGCTGGTGACACAAGATGATGTATATCTGTGGATCTGCCTGGGAACAAGCTGCTGACTGGCTAAATGCTTCCAGTGCCATGCAATCACATCGGGTCAGCAATATACTTGGAGAGTTGACAGATTTCCATTGGCCATCACCCAAAAGGCAGCACTTAACCAAACTCATCAACCCAAACTACTGCAATTCCTGATTTTGTTGTGTATCATCCAAAAAAATCTCCTTTGATTACTTTCTGGGGGTATTCACAGTCCTTCATCTGTGCTGGCCATCTCTCAGACTCACAAGGGGAAGAGAGAGTTTTGGAGCGTGCCGGATTGGGCTAATTGTGTATTATACTTGGGTCGGGTCTTTTCAAGGCTAATTCCAGCAATAGGAACTGTCAGGTCTCATAGCCATTAAGGTCCAGACTCACCTTATACATTAATATCTGAGTCTGCTGCCTGTTTCTCATCACCTCATTTACCCCACGGGCAGGAAGATCTGAGGGAGCCGAGCAAGTGGAATCTTCAGAAGGTCTGCCAGGGCCTTCTCTGGGAAGACCCAACCGCCCGGCCCAACAACAGCTGTTTCCTCCTATCATCAGCACCTCGCCACTGCCCTTTGGGGAAGGAGGAGAGTAGCAACGGGGCAAACAGATTCTTAGGAAGGACAGCAGACCCTCCTGCAGAGCAGGGATGGTGTAACACAACGTGTAACAGAGCCAATGGCGGCCTCAGAGCTCACTGTACAATTCAAAGTGTTTCTGACATCATTAACCTGGAAACACATTTAAATCAAAAGGCAAGTAAGTAAGAAACAGTGCTGATCCACATTCCTTATAATAACATTGAGTGGGCAAAGTCACGCAGTCGATGCTTTAAAGCAGGTGTGGGGAACCTGATCCATGGAGGGCCGGTGTGGATGCGGGTTTTTGGGATGGCCTCTCAATCAACCAATAATAAAGCAGTGGTTCTCAACTCCAGTCCTGGGGACCCACTGTTATTGGCTGACTGAGAGGCCATCCCAAAAACCCGCACCGGCGCTCCATGGATCAGGTTCCCCACCCCTGCTTTAAAGCATGGGTGAAATATTCTTATCCAGAAAGGGCTGTTGTGTATCTAAGTTTTCTCTGAAACTCCCTAATTAGATTATTAATTAGAGGACAGATTGTCTGAAAGGTCCTCACACCTGGGTTTGAACAGCTGAATTAAAGGTTAACCCAAAAGCCTGCATACGCACCGGCCCTTTATGGACAAGATCGGCTACTCCTGCTTTAAAGAATCTAAAGTCCGAAGTCTCCTCTCACAGCCATAAATGATGCAGCCGCTGCTCCATACCGCCTGAGAGAGGCACCAGTGAGACACTTAACTTCAAGTCTTACATCTCTCGTCATCATGATCAGTTCCTATGGATACTTTGCCTGCCTTCCCACGTAACAGGGTATCAGTGCGTGTAGCGAAAACATCGGTGCTTCGAGGAGTTAGAAATCTGCAGCTATAAGGATTGATCAGTTAACATTTTTTGTACAGAGACACATTTTGTTAAAACAAGAAAAGGAAGAAAATCAAGTCAATTAATGCCTAATTTTCCTTTTATTAAAAATGTTTATCAAGCATGATTTATTTTACACCCATTCCTCTATATAATACTTTATTAGTCTCTGTTCCCTGTTGATATACTTTTCCAAGCGTTTAATTAAATACAGATAAGATTGGGCCATATTGGCCCTGTCAACGTTTATATTCACAGAATACAGTCCATGGTGGGATGGTTGTAGTCTGGGGGAGGGGGGGTGTGGCCAGGAAGGCAGAGAGAGTAAATTTCACCTTCCCTTTAACACAGTCAATCATTCAAATCTGACAGACTCCTCTTAAAGGCATGACAGCAGAGAGTTGCCTTTTCCCATCATAATTCTGCTTCCGGCTCCTTCCCGGTGCCGCACTCTACATTCAGTATTGCAGAGTCACTCTCCCCCAGCAGGTATGGGATGGGGGGCAGGGGTTTGTGCGAGGCGGGTCATTGGCCGGTGGGCGGCGAGGGCGAGGTCATGCCAGCGGGATGGAGACGGCGCCGTTGGCGCGGCTGCGCGTGTGCACGCTGGACTCGGTGAGCTCCTCGCCGTGCTCCTCGGCCTTCTTGTCGGCGAAGGCAGTCAGGAAGCGCAGCGTGACCGAGTCCCACTCCTCAGGCAGCAGCAGCAGCAGGAAGCCCAGGCAGATGATGCAGGTGGCCGCCAGACGCACCACACTGAATATCACCTCGTGCTTCAGCACGTCCACGGCTGCAGGAGCACATTGGGGCACCTTGAGCCATGCAGTTAATCGGGCCGCTAATTTTATTTAATAGACGTCTTTCATTTCTCCATTTACATTTATTTTTTATCTATTTTAATATATATACACTAGTAGACAAAATTGTGGAAACACTTCCAATTTTTAGAGATCGTAGAACTTTATTCTGGTTACTCCTTTTACTTGTTTAATCGTCCAATGTAAGATACTTTTAACAGTCTTTGATTATCATTAACATTACTGGCAGTATTCGTGTAGTAATTTTTTTAAGCGCAATGCCGAAAATGCTGGATGTTTCAACAATTTTGCCAACTAGTATATATTGTATATTTGCAAATATGTTTATCCATTTCAATAGAAATATAGTATTGTATATTTATTGTATAATATAAATAATAATAGAATAACTGTTGTATATTTTCATATCTTTTCATGTCTTTTTTCCACCACATTTTCAAGTATCGATAAGAGTATCAATAAGAGTATTGATAAGTATTGGTATCGGTAAGCAGTATCACTATGGATAACAGTATCAATAAAATCCCATCAATACCCATCCCTATACAGTACTGTTGCACCCAAAATCTGGTACCTAAATAGATGGTTCTACCTGATTAGTCAGCGCATAAACGCCCCCTACTGGTGGGCAGCATTAAGGGTTAAGTACAGCTGTACAGTGAGGCACCGTGAGACCTGAATTGCCTGGTGGCTGGGGAGAGGTCACACTCTGATTTGTGGCACCCAGGTGCATATGAAGAGAGAATTATACATTACAGCCCTTAAATGACCAAATTGGAATAGTCATGCAAAAAAAGCGCAAGGCGTCAGCGAGGGACGCTTTTAAATCACAAAATCAGTCAATGGGCCGTAACCTGGTAAGTAATAAAGGTGCTGATGGGTGCTGAAGCTCAAATAGACACAATATGCAACTTCTGCACTTTGCCTGTCACTGATCCTGCAAAGCAGCATTGATTTAATTACGGCCATTCCGGGAGAGCCAGCTGAACAGAAGGCCGCTGAGATAACTGCCGCAATGACGTCTAATAAAACAGAATGAAGTACTTGCCACGCTTCCAGATTTTAGAATTTTTAAATGCAAATACTTTTAACTACTGCCTTCCCAAAACTAACTAATAACAGAACACATAAGAATAAGCCCATGATTTAAAGGAATATTTTAAGGCAGCGATCCCAGAATGCATTGCAACTCTTAAGGAGCCACACTGATCATCACCTCATCAACGCGTGGAAATAATCAGCTGAAGTGTCCCCTCCCCCGAGTCTTGATGAACTGATATAGTCTGCTATAGCTGGACAGTTTCATAATGGCAGGGGGGGGGGCATTCAGCAGGCACTTAAGGTTGCCGTAGCAACTCAACTGTCCGTTATTGAGTGATAACCGCTGCATTTCGTGAGGCTGCGTAGCTGATTCTGTCCCAGGAGAGAGGGCGCTATTTTTGGGTAGAGTGAGATTTGCTTTGTAATCGTGGGGATTAAACACTGACCCCTGGGTATCCCGTGTCTGCTTGTGCTACGTGTGGGAGGTTAATTATAGAGCCGCACCTTTAACATAATAAAGCAGTGTTTTCCAATCCGGTCTTCGGGGTCCCCCAGAGTCTCCCCGAGGATCAGATTGGGAAACAATATAATAAAGGATGTGAGAAGTCAGTGATGGAAGAAAAGGCACAGAACCGCTCACCCCGCCTCCCACTGGCCTGAACCTGGAAGTGACTGAGTGTGCGTGGAAAATTCCAGCCGCGTTGGTTTAATCTGCGGGGTGACACGCACCTGCATTGCCAGGCACGCTGAGCAGGGTCCCGATGGAGATGAGGATGGGGTAGGTGAGCACCACTCCCACGTTGACCAGGATGTTGAATGCTGGGAGATGAGGAAGGGGATTAACAGGCTGAGCTTCAGTACCTTCCTGTTAGGACATGCTGGTCTGAATCCACATATTTCCCAGAATCCAAAGGGCTCAAACGTCTGATAAACCTGGAAACACACATCTGCTATGCTTAAAGCACAGAGCGTCCAGAGCCTCGGACTGGACAGCCATAAACGGCAAGGACAGCCAGGCATTGATTTGGGGAGAGGATTGGCAAGGATGTTTACATCCATTACATGCCATTATCCGGGAAACACCAACCATGAACAGTGGTAGATGCCATCACCGGACCTCGTCAGCATCTCATTATGCTAAGTGATATTTTGAGTCCCTATCAAAGAGACTGCACTGTTACTCCCGAAATATCATGCTGTGTTCCGCTGCCAGAAATGAAGTGAGTGGCGTGGTGAAGCGGGCGTGCCGTGTGACTCACCCAGCCAGAGCCCCGCCACCCCGCAGAGGTACCCCCAGGGCAACGTGGACAGGGAGCCCCAGTGCTCCACCTTAGTGAAGTACAGCACCAGCGGCACGCAGGAGATGAAGACCAGGTTAAAGAAGCCGAGCGTGGAGAAGAAGTGTGCCGCCTCGCCCAGGTTACTGCTGCCCAGAAACATCTTGAACAGCACCTGGGCAGTAGAATAGTGGTGTGAGGCAGCCATTTTAGCCATTTATCCCTGAGATGTACCAATATGCCAATATGGCAGCCTGAATTTTCAGAAAGGTTCAGGAAGAAGGCATACCTTGTAGAGGGCAGATGTGGAGGCGGAGCCCACAGCCAAAGCCACGCCTATGATGGAGTCACCATGGAAACCGTCGGCATAGGCCATCATGACGATGCCAGTGATGGCCATGATGGCTGCCACGATCTTCGGGAGGAGGCAGTGAAGAGGATTGTGGGTTGAGGTCCAGCTCCATTAAAAATGAGCCTCCTTTAATTCAGGGGCAGGGAATTCAAGTCCCCTTGGCCTTTTAGGTAAGATGTGCTACTTCTTGTTCTATTTTGTCTGTTAATTGGTATTATTTGGAGGATCCACCCTCACATGCTGCTCAGGTTCAAAACATTTGCTAATTTAGGGATAATATATCATACCCCAGATGCTTTGGCTGGCGAGGACCACAGTTCCCAACCCCTTCGTTAGATTTGTAGCCTTTACGTTACCTTGAGGCCCAAACACTATATTAACAGCCAATCTATCTTTCCTCCAAGCCCTGTCCTTGGCTTCGGCTGGCCTTCACTCACCCGCACACCCATGAAGCGGTCCTTCAGTACGATCCAGGACAGCAGGAACACGAAGGCCTTGTGGCAGCAGTAGAGCGCGGAGACGTCGGTGGCCGTCAGCTTGCGCAGGGCCAGCAGGTACAGGTAGTTGGTGAGGGTCCACAGGATGGAGAAGGGCGCCGTGCGCTTCACGAACAGCCTTAACGTCAGCCCTTCCTCCCCGAAGATGCGGCTGCACTCCCTGCAAAAGGCGGAGGAGCCGTTTCACCTCCCCTCGACATGCAGACTGTGCTTCTCTACGCTAAATATGACCCTGGCGATCTGACACGAGTCTTACAGATCATCCTGGTCAGCATGTCACAGTCGTGCATGCATGCATGACTAGGGTCTGTAATTAAACAAGGACATGTATCTTCAGATGAAATGCTCTCCATGCATCTTGACAGCATCTATGTGATGTACAGTCAAACATCTACAGAGGGCTGGCAGGTTGGGGGGGGGGGGGGGGGGGTTGCATACCTGAATTTCTGAATGGGCGACTGCTTCTCCCGTGTGGTGACCAGGTGGCCAGAATAGTAAAGGGGGAAGAAGAGAATGTTCCAGTTGGTGCTGAACCACGTGATAAAAAACGGGCAGGAGAAGGACTGGAAGGTGAGCTGGACCACCTGCGTGGTGCCCACCCAAGAGGAGGAGATGAACACAACCACCAGCAGGCCGCCGAGCACCTTCAGGATAGTACTCGCACACGACTGGCACTGCCCCTGCTCCCCACTGGCCTCGCTGGCCAGCGTCTCCGCATGAGACTCGGAGCCATCCTCTCCTGCAGGGGGCGACAAAGATCCCTCTATTACTTTCATTTACCATGTTATAAATTCCAGTTTTCTTGAACAAAGACATCTCCAGAATGACAAGGAAAATATGCAGAATTAAAACCCATGACAGAATGTTAGCTCTTGCACGTGTAACGTTGCTTTGGTACCTTCATTAATAAACACATAGACATTAATAGGTCATCAAAATCCTGTGCAGGAAGACCTCAGACCTCAGGTCCTTTGGCAGGAATACGGACGGATGGATATTAATGGCGTATAAGATACAATCTGTCATGTTTCTATGTTATGAAATATTCCCTTCAGTGCAGCAATTGAAGGAGACCTTTGGTGAGGGTAATCCGCTGTGCGTGGCGGACATTGCGATGACCTATGGGGACACAGATGCACCACTTTGTCAAGTGCCACACGGAGCTCTGGCCAGGGGGGTCTGCACATGCCGCCCTCCGTCCCGGGGGATCTGTGGCACTGCAATTAGCTGCCTTTGGCGCCTCAGCCAGCATGAAGGGCACAAGTGGGCAGCTCTCGCCGCCACCTGGGATATCCGCAGGCTGTTTCTGTCCACCAAGGCTGCGGTTCTGCTACCCGATGTCAGACCGAGAGGTTCTGTCCTCGCGGGCTCCGTGCCTCCCTGTCCTGAGTTGACATCCAAAACACCCTGAGGAGCAATGAAAGTGCCTCACACGCCAAAGCACTTTGGCTTTCTAATGGGAACATCCCATCGGTTCGGACTGGGAGACTAACTGGCCCTTCCCTGCTCCTTTTTAAAGAGTCAGCAATTGGAACGATGCGGCGCTCTGCAGGTCAGTGGCTTTGAGAGCAGCGTGTTCCCACTCGGTGCCGCTCTGCTGGCGAGGGTCCTGACAAGGCAGCACTACGGGCAGGAGGGAGAACGGCGAAGGAAAATCCATGGAGGGAACGAAGAAGGAACGCTGCAGCACTAATAATAGCTCACCAATCTCCGCGTGCGATTCCTCTCTCGGGCGCGTGTGCGAGTTGCGTAACCTGTTTTGCGGCTTCAGCGCATTCCGGTAGGCAGGGTTCCGCACAATGTGAGAAACTTAAGCTGCGACGTGGGACCGGCGCGTCTGGGTGATGATTGGCTGATCGGGGTTCGATTCGGTCAGGTTTTTTTTTTTTGTTTTTAGTTTCCACATGTGAGGCGGTGGGCGGCACAGATTTCCGGTGATGGGGCGTGAGGCCTTCAAGCACTTGGATAGGAGGGTGGGAGTCAGTTTCCGGAAGACTCAAATCCATTACACCGCTCTTGCTGGTTATCGTTTTACACCTGAGTAGGAATAAAGAATGACCTGGGCAGGCCAGCGTTGACGGTCAGCACATTGAGGCTCTCCTGCCAGACCCGACTCCCATGGATGCCCCGTCCCCCGTCCCCCGTCCCCCGTTCCGGCTCAGCATTTTACAGACACCCCTTAACTCCAGTCTTTCACAGCTTTCCTGTCTCATTCTTCCTCCCCCCCCCGATTTCCTAAGCTGATGCGCTGACTCTGTGCTGGGGTGTCCAAACATATGCAGCTGAAATCTCAATCTCCACCTCCCTCAATTACCATCAGGTACCCAAGTCTAATCTGAGCTCTCATTTTCGAAAAGCACCTCAGAGATTTTCCGTTTAAATTTAGTGCCTTGAGCTCAATGTATGAGAACTTTTATGTGCAGAATAAAGTGAGTTATTATTTATGTATGTAGTGGGGGGGGGGGGGGGGTTCCGGGTATAGACACCAATGACCTCATACCCCACCAAATGTACCTTATGATGCTGACATTAAGAACCTGCTCATCTGTAACTGGCTACTGAGCACAAAGAAGCCTCAGGGTGGCTTCATAGCCCAGGAGCTCATTTATTTCCTGCATGAGCTCCCAAATCCCTAGTTCACTCCTATAAACTCAGGTAGGAAAGCAGACACAGCAGACACAGCAGACACAGGCCGTCGCTTCTGGGCCCATCAGAGAAAGCAAAGCTGTAGCTGGTCACCGGCAGGGGCTGGCATGTGACATGCAAGGCCAATGGGCAGCTCTGGGAAGAGGGGCTACAGTAGACATGTCCCCTGGGCTCCACCCACAGATCCCCATTGGCCTACCCACAGACACGCCCCTGGGCTCCACCCACAGATCCCCATTGGCCTACCCACAGACATGTCCCTTGGGCTCCACCCACAGATCCCCATTCGCCCACCCACAGACCCCCATTCGCCCACCCACAGACATGCCCCATTGGCCCACCCACAGACACGCCCCTGGGCTCCACCCACAGATCCCCATTGGCCCACCCACAGACACGCCCCTTGGGCTCCACCCACAGACACACCCCTGGGCTCCACCCTCAAACAGCACTGTTTCCCCATCTAGAATACAAGCACAAATCTGTCAATATCCCACAGAAACTGCCAGTTTCTTAGTAAACAAGTCGGTTAGTAAACAAGAGTACCGGCCCTTCAAAAGTCACCCCTATTGTTCATGGTTACAGCTATAACGTTTGCTTGGGCTTGAAGAAAAGCATGAAAATCTGGTCTGATCTAATGTATTTACCACTTCCACCCAGGGAACTCAAAGGGGAAATATTATGCCTTTCACCACAGGAGTAATGCCGTAGGAGGCACGGCAGGGAGTCAGGCCGCCCGAAAAAGCAACCTTTTGTTCCTCATAATTCCATGTGCAAAAAAATGATGTTGGTAGTCATTAAGATGTTTCTTCACTGGAGAATAATCAGAGCAGTTTCCCCTCAGGGTAGAATTAGGGTTGGGCTGGGCCGTGTGGAGGCAAGCAAATCGGCCTGTCATGTCAGCACCGGTGCTGGGTTACCGGCGAAGACGCTGCTCTTGCAGATGCGAGTCTGCAAACACAGACACACCAGCACCTGGATATTTAATCTAATACGCAGCCCACTTGGATATGAGTGAGGGTAAGATGTGCTTTGCCCGCAAGCAGGGAGCGAGAATGGATGTGGATCAGGCTGCCTGCACCACGCGGGCCCTCTTTGGATAAACGGCGTGACACGTCCGCACACACACTCTCTGTCACCGGGCAAAGGTGTTCCCACTGCCATCCTGTACGCCCCCGGCTCCGGATGCCAACGATGCCACATTATTCACAGCCAGTCCAGCCTGTTATATAGCACTTCTGAATATTCCCAAAATCCATGTATAAACCAAGGTTCCCCAATTCCAGTTCTGGAGGGCTAGAATCCAAGCACAGGTTCCCTGAGCAAACACATCTTAATGAGCTAATTCCCATGTTTAAGAGGTGTGTTTGAGCAAGAAAATCTGCAAACCTTGATGTATACATATAAAATGCACAGGACCCACACCACAGCCGCCCTTCCCTAAGTCCACACTGGACTGAAGGTTCTGGGTTCATGTCCTGAGGGGGTGGGAGGGGGGGTACTTAACCTGCTAATTCACTTTGAACGGCACTGCCAGGTAAGGAAGTACCTGTAAATAAATGTGAATCCTTCAATGATTAACTTCACAGCTCAGTTTTTGACATCCCGCACGCCTCTGAAGACGTACTCAGTCACTCCTCCCTTTAACGAATAAGAGCCCAGCTAATGGTTTTGCTTTCTCATTAAGTTCAACGATCCCAAATTGGGGGACGGTCCCATCTGGTCCCAACCCCTCGCTAGTCTCATATGTGATCTGCGGAGACGTTACGGGAAGCGCTGAAGCGCCACAGGGGCCAATCTGAGGTCTTCAGCCCTGACAATGACAACTCACACTTCAATTCATATGAAATGGATTCCAGTACAACTATAACCAGTGTGGAACAGGGAATTCAACATTTAGTACATACAAAACCTTCTGCTTATTCCGATAACGGGACAGTCAAAAGTATCTACACATGTATGTCTGCTACGATCTACCTACTGTTAATCCAGCCTTTATTTGATTTCAGTTAATATATTTTCTAATATACTTAACAGATGTGTCATACTCATGCTGAAGCCCAGAGGCGTTAGCGGGGAACCGGGCTGCGTTAATGACCTCCCCGTTCCTGGCGCGGCAGAGCGCCACGCGCCGTGAGCAGACCTCCAGATGCCGCTAATCCCTCCCAGGAGACGGCAGGGAGCTGGCTGACAGCTCAGCCTGAGCCGAGCGCATACAGCGTTTGACGTGAGTATAACCTTATAAGACCACGTTTGTCAGTGAGTGCAGATTGGATCCGGTGTACCCTCCACTGTCTTACTCTGCTAAATAATCTCTTCCCATGATCCTCCTCTCTATTACACTCCCATCTGAAATGAACAGAAGCATGAGAACCACAAAGGCCTCCCTGTCCCGTCCTGAAGAGCGGAAACACTCAGGCAAACCCATAAACCTGCTCAGTTTTGTGTGGGACTTACTTTTTAATAACCTGTCACTCTGTCACTAAAACTGGCATCGATGCCCGGCTACAGCTAGTTATGCCCCTTGCACCTCAGTCTAACCCCCCTCCCCCCCCCCCCCCCCCCCCCCCCCCCCCCCCCCCCCCCCGCCACACACACATACTAACCCTAATCACAACAATAAAAAAAGACTTTTGGCATTTTTTTTTTTATGGTAGTCACATCTTTTTATAAAACAGAGTTGTCCCCTTAAGGGAAAATGACAGTCCTCACAATGTAACATACATGACTGCACTCACACACACATAGTCTCCTATATTAAAACACTGTATCCCAAGGTCTCGCCGCTCCCATCTCATCTGGCATAAGAGACACTGCGGGTCATAGTGACTCTCGTTAAGCCGTTAGTCCGACAGCCTCGTTAACAGCCGGGACCTCGGTGCTCTGCAAGCACGATGCCCTCAGCCGAGCAGAACCACAGCGCGCTCAGGCCCGACACCAGCCGGGGTCCGTGCCGCCCCACGCCTGTGACACACGCATACGCGTGAGGAACCCCTCCCCCCAACGCAGGGCACAGTACCTTCGGAGACGGGGCAGGTGAGGACCTGCGTGCTGTATGAGCTCAGCGGGGCCACCCTGGCAGAGTGCTTCTTCATCTCCACTTGGGGCAGAAAGCTGGTCTCCCTTCCCACTGCGGGGAGGGGGTGTGAGGCTCCCTGCACTGGGCTCTGCGTTCAGTGGCCCCCGGCCCCCCACTGCATGGCGGGCTGCTCCCCGGCTCTCCCTACCCGGCTCACTCGCTTCGGGACGCTGGATGGGGCTTCACTGCCGCGCCGTCATGCTGAGCCTGACGCTGAACCGTCTCCAATGGAGACTGACGCTCAAGTACCGCCGTGCGCCGCACTCACATCCACATCCACATCCTCCCTCTCTCTCTCTCTCTCTCTCTCTCTCTAGCTTCATGTCCCCTCTCCTCTCTGCATATCTGCTGTTTTGTTTGTAGGGTAACCAAGCAGCCCCTGCTAATTATGCTGCGTTAGCTGCTCCTTTACTCCCCCCCACATCCCACTCTTCTCCTCCTCCTCCTCCCCCAGTCCCACACAGTCACCCTCCCTCCCTTCCTTCCTCCCTCCTTTGCCCCCCCATCCTTTTCCACTTGACAGCTACTTCAGCGCTGGCTTACCTGAAGAGGCCCCCCCCCTCCTCCGGAGGCCGTGGTGACGTGGTGCCCCCTGCCCCCCTCCCCCCCCCCACCACCCTACATTCAGCAGCACAGAACCTGAGGCCCTCGCCCCCACTCTTCAAACTCCCTAAGAGGCACAGAGATTCAGAACGGGGGGGGGGGGGGGGGGTACACACTCACACTCTCAGCACCAAGTAACTCCCCCACAGGCCAGGATAGGTCGCCCCCTCCTTAGCACTGCTTTACAGCCCTTGATGTCAAACGTGCCCCCCCCCCCAACCCCAGCCTATCTTGGGTCGGCTCGCAGCAGGTGCCTTTCCCATTTTAACCTGTCTCTCTCGCTCTCACGGCCGCCAACCATAACCCCGAGATCATGGTTTGGCAGAGAGGTCAGACCATGCCCCCCCCCGGCTAGAGAGAACAGATTTACTCCTGTCACTGATAAAACCAGTATGGAGCAGCTCAGCTATCAATGCAAAGGTCACTAGAGGAGCAGTAAATGGTGGAAAAGAGTAAACGGTAAGAGTAAACGGTAAAACGGGAAAACTCGTCACCCTGCATGGGGTGGGGATTCAGGTTTGGGAGCCGTTAGGAAACTCAGGCAAGCCCGCCTTTCGTAATTCCCTGGGCAAAATGACTCCGACTGGGTCCCCGTGACGCGCAGCCCCTCCCACTAGGGCCCTCTCCTGGCCGCCCCCAGAACAACAGCAGGCCCCAACGTAGGGGATGCCTTGACTTCAAGAAACATCTTTGACATGGAGGATCACTGCGGCTGATGTGGGAATCCGCTACGTGTTTCCAGCACAGCCGCTCAATCCCCCCAAAACCTGTCAGGAGCTGACGGAACAGAAGGCTTCAGATGTTTGAGTGAAGGGACAGATCCTCTCGGCTCATCTCGCAGATGCCATCTCATCATGGAACTTTCTAGATCGCTGTAAACCCCATTCTGTGGTGTGTAAATAAATTAATGAGGGCTGAGGCTGCTCTTCAGACTCTCTGAGGTACATTAAAGTACAAAATATACTTTCAGTTTGTTATGGGAATTTAAGAACGGGTTAGGGCTAAATATAAAATAAAGCACACAAGATCAAGTATAGTCTTCATCTCCCTAAAAAAAAACCTGCCTTTTTTGTCTCCTATCCTTTTTAACTACTTTACGTTCAGTCCTTCTGGCATGTCGGAAGCAGTTTGAGTCAAACCAGTTACTTCAGAATCCAGGAATGGCTCAGAACATTGAGTCTCACACTGGGCTCCATGCACAACTCAGCTACAACCTCCCAGGTACAGCAGCGGCAGCTCAGGGAAAGTGTCCCTTTTTAAGTTTCAGCTCCCATCGAACACGACACCCACAAAGACTTCTTACAAGAACCACGTGCCGAATGGCGATATTCCACATCAGGGTGGCGAAATGCCAATGGCCACTCCCCTAGGCGGGATGGGGGTGAGTTAACTGGCCATTCGCAGGAAAGACAGAGACCTATAACATAAATGTCCACCCTGCAACTGTCATGACAAACACACATCCTTCTGAAAAAATTTAAAGGGTTTACTAGAACAACAAAACAAGGAGCAAAAGTACGGGGAAGAATCAAAACAGGAAGCCAGGATAACAATACATAGGGTCACAGGCTACTCGAACGCTGACTTGGGGATCAGGGAAATAAGCCAAAGAACACACTAACTAATTATGTGGGGACCAGAGCAACACCAACACTACACACTCCCATGACTAACATAGACACTGACAAAGACCGAAGTAGGAACCGTCACACAGGTGGGTGCTTATATACAAAGATATCATGGATCAGATGAGGGACAAGTGCAAGTAACTGAGAGACAAATGGATGGAAACGGGATGGTCAGCAGAAACCCCTGCTGGGCAAACAGAAACACGACAGGGACAGATTGCTTTAGTTACATTATCATTACCAGAATACTATGAGTTTATTAAAAGATTTTTTCATGTTACACCCATTTAATGTTTTGACAGTAATACCGACAATAACACAGCTATTGCTAGTAATGGCCAAATGAACCTTCATGAACCATTTGCTGTATTTTCTGAGCCCACTAGATGGTGCTCTTGGCCTGCTTTGGGGTATGCTTTAGGTTCTTTTGTGAACGGAGAGCACTATCTAGTGGTGTCAGCAAATGGTTTTTGAGGCTTCATTTGGCCATCACTAGCTATCGTCCTAGCTACACCATTCCTGGCAGTACCCCCCCCCCCTCACAGCAGGGGGTGCTCTTTTAGCCTGTTGGGTTCCAGCACCAGCACTCGTGTTGGGCCCCACTTGGTACAGACACATCATACCAGCACTGTGTGTTTTATTCTGCCAATCTTATAAGCAACACTTAGCAAACAGCCCCATCCATTTGGGAAATAAAGACACCTTCACCTCCCCCCCCCCCCCCAGGACAAAACACTAGTTGGGTCAATTTATTTACTGGTATTTACAGTGTTGGACTTAATCTATCATGGGCTTGAATTTAAAGCCTGTGATAGATGAGTTAGGCTGGCTTCCGTGACAATGCCAGGGTATCAGGTTTCCACTCATATTTCACACCACATTTATATGAGGAATTCAATAATGTGAGAAAATTACAGGGACTAACGCCGTCAACTGGCTCCAATTAGGTCCAATTTGAAGCGGCATGCTGCCACCCGAGCCGGGGAGTGATTGATGTAACGATGTTAAGCCTTCAGAGCTTACAGGAGCGCTGTACCTCCTTTGCACAACACCGCCATGGGATTGGCTGAGCTGGGACCAGCTTTACGGTATTATTTCAGGAGGCGTACCTGAGCCCATATTCTACCTGCAAACCAGCTGCTGAGTTTCTTATTAAGCTCCCCCCGCCAATCTAATCAGTTTATTAACTCTCCATGGCCCTCTGACGGAACCCCAGGCAAAGAATTTAAGGAGAAATTAGGCATCATCTGTGTGTGTTTCCAGCTAAACTCTTTACACTGTAGATCTGTCAGGTGACATTAACTGGCCTGATGACAGGTGACCCATGTTGAAAACAAGACAGCTGTGTTTGCCTGAGCGTAAGGGGAAACAAAGGAAAACTGCACTGGGCAGTGAGCTCACAAACGAGGGCATATTTCCAGGTGGGGGGAGGGCAGGGAGTGGGCTGGGTCACGGCAAGAAGTTCTCTACACCTTCCTCCTACCTGCAGCTGGGGGGGTACAGTATTTTCACCAACGAAACTGTAATATTGTCCCAATGTCCTACATCAAGCCAGCAGGTATCTGAAAATAACTGACCCCCCCCCAACACACCACAGTAACAACTGGGCTGAAGCGGCCATCCCACTGACGCAGGCGATGCTCAGCCCCTTTGTCATTCAGATTGCCATTGTGTTACCTCAGGTGCTGTCGTCACCATGGTGTGGGTGGGTGGGGCTAATGTACCATGAGGTCGAGCCCCCATCCTCATTCCACCAATCAGCTTGCGTAACCTTCTGATCCGAAATGGTGCAAAAGAACGGGCACCGATCTCAGGTTATGCAGATATTCCAACAAAAGTCTACAGCAATATTTCATTTTCCCTGATATTTTAAATCCATAGAAACAAGAGTCAGGGACTTGCTATGTAGCCCAGAGTTGTAATTCCAGTTTGAGTAAATCAGGCTTTTTAATGTGCACACAAACTGTTGCAAATAACTACAATAAGACTACTTTTATGTTTCACAAGTCATAACTCTAGGACAAATATAATGTGTAATCTGTAAATATTGAGTTAAACAGATAAAAATTTGTACCTCATAGGAATTTCTGTCATGATTTTACACAGTATTTGTCTTGCTAATTGCGCCCACAATCCTGTACATGAAATCTGTTATGGTAATGCCTACACCTAGTGGAAACATAGTGAACTACACAGTTTAAACAACTGCTTTCCTTTCTGCAAGTTTCGTTACAAAGTACTGCATCTCCAGTTGTTCTGGATACTTAAGCGCATTCATTCTAGAAGCCACTAGAGGGCAGCACAAATCTATTTAGGTTAACTAAGTTTCAGACTTTCGTAAAGGAGAAGACCTTGCCGTGCATCAGTAAATTCAAAAAGTGAAAAAAATCACAAAGATGAATAAATCACAGGCCAGCTAAATATACTGTACTGGTTTGTTATGTGTGCTGACACTACTGAAATACAAAACTTGGCTTAGGAATTAGCAATATGCGCGCGCAAGGAAAACAATGCTTATTGATTTCCTCTGTGTATACCTTTGTACGAGGGCACTTCAGCATTTACATCTGCAGCTAATTCTTGCATAACGTGGAACATTTGCAGAGCAATTTTTTTTTTTTTCAACGAACCACTAGGTGGAGACAATTCCCGAATTTTAATGCCGCGGCACATTTATCAGACTCGTGCTCCTGCAAGCTCAGCCTCCTGTAGCAAAAAATAACCCGAAGCCTAGGGAAGAGGTCCATTACAGGAGAACTTAATGCTGTCAGTGTGGACGCAGAGAGTTCTAAGCATAGAGTCTGCTGTTACTCCAAGTTAAGCACTGATTATTTCCAAATTTAAAATGAGCTTTAAAAAAAGTTAAACAAACAATGCTGGTATGTTGAGTATGGAAGTATTTCTGTTTAGACTCAACAGAATTAAAGAAATCAAATTCCAAGCTTTAAGTATTAGTCTTCAGGTGACTTGAGCCCTGTCATCCATTTTTTTTCTAATTATCTCAGGCACATTTGTGGCTCAAAACAGAGAATAGCAC